ATTTTCCTACTCAATAAGTAATTTGTGTTATGTTTGATAGCGGTAATAGATGGGCATTTTTATGGAGGAAGATTTCATGAATAGTGCCATTTGCGTGATCTTGGGACAGAGGGAGGTTTGGTCCGGATTGAAGCTTTTGGGAGGATTTTTTTGTACATTGTTAGGGTTATTTTTAATAAGCTCTAAAAACGTATTAGGAGTTTTATTTTTTTAAGATGCATGTCCTTATATATGCTCATATAGATATATTTTTTCCCCCATCTAGTATGGTATTGAACTTGTCATGCGGTTCAATACCGTCAATCTAGGTTGTTTTTTTTTTTTTTTTTTTGTAGCGTCTTGATTATGAATTAATGGTATACATGTTCATGTTTCTCACACAAAAAAATTGGCATACAGACCATGTATATGTGCTTTTAGTTCCTTTTTTCTAATTAAGTTGTTAATTTACCCAAATAGCAATTTTAGGGCAATAGGCAATAACTAGAAAAGAAAGAAAAACAATATTCCACCACCAGCTACCTAAGTAGCCCACTCATTTTTGGAGAGATATTTGAATTCTACTCTCTCATTTTTTTAATATGTCTGAGTAAGTTATTTAATATAGATAATTCTCTCATATTTCTCAAATTCTTCATCGTTTATTCAAAAATTCATATCTTGCTTTCTTCAGGTAACATGTAAAGGAAAAAGTTTTCTTCTTCCTCTTTTTCCAGGTGGTTTTGATTCTCTTCACAAATCAAGATTTGGTGAATTAGATTACATGCTTGCATCGATGGACAAGATATTGATTCCATTGCACCAAAGTTATTAATTTAAAAGTTAGGGTTTTGTACTTATATTCATGTGTTATATCACAACGGGTTGGTTTTAAAAACCCATGTGATTGTGATTTTGATACCTAAAGAGTAAAGATTTATATTCCCTCATAATAGTAATTACGGTAAAGAGTTGGATATGTTAATAAGTGGTGTTATTGTAACACTCTTAATTATTAATGTTATATTTTTTTATTTTAATTAATTATTATACTCTTATTTATTTGAAAATTAAAAAAATACAGGGTTTTGAAAAAAAAAATGTAGTATAAGAGTATAATAGTCAATTAAATTAAGAAGTGGTGATAGTAACTATTGAGGTTGTGACAATAATTTTAAAAACCAAATGTCATGTGATAGATTAATTAATTCAGGATTTAAATTGAATTTAGGGTCAAGCCAATGTGAAAAGTATTATTAAAGTATATCATTTAAGGACAAAATAATCTCAAACTGTGCGAACCTGCCTCAGAGATACCTGTCCAGATAAAAAATAAAAGTTACCATTAGCAATTATAGTCCTTGGATTTAAAATTATGATTATATATGATTTTCGCATCCAGTGATAGTTTTTTGGAACAATTTACTAATCAGTGAAAAAAAAAAAAACAGAAAAAACCTTTACACATCCTGATTTGTTACAATTGATTCTTCCAATGGTGCGGCTGACAATTCCAGAGATTTGTATAACTTTCATTAGACAATTCAGTCCGTTGGCCAATTCACACTTTCTTATAACCAAGAAAAGTTCAGGGATCCTTTTTTTATGAAATAAAACAGAAAAAACAGAATTCGACCAAAATAATTAAGGGGCATCAATCACGTGAAGATAATATAATTTATACGAGTTCACACTGTTTGGAGAAAAAAGAGAAAAGATGTGTTCACACTGCAAATGATCAAATATAAATTTGGAAGGATAACATATTAGAGAGCAAAGAAGTGCAAAGAACTAGGATTGTTTGATGGAAAAATTATGATATAGACAATCTTAAAATGGAGTCTCCAAAGTTTATGTAAGAACAATTTTCCTTAATCAAATTTTTATTTTTCACTTAGTAAGTTTATCTGTTTAATATCATATAATTATTGTAATAATTTTATTGTAAATAAAATTACATGAATATCAATTTTGTTGTTTAACTAATGGCTTTTTCATATACTAGTTGAAAACATGTGTTTGGTTATGTCTTCTTGGGAAGGCATTTTTTGAAAATTGACAATCTTTTTAGCTGACTTAAAGAATTAAGATATTTCATTTGTTGGTAGTGACAGAGACAGGGGGTTAGAGTCTCAAGACCCCTTTAAATTTTTGGGAAAGAAATTAAGAATGTAGGTTCACAACCTTTAATTTACAATTGAACTTAGAAATATTTAATTTAGACTTTTTTATAGGCATTTGATTTAGACTTATTACTATTTATTTCAAGTCATTTACATAATTCTTATTTTATACAAATAATATAACAAATATAAAAGCTTATAATCCAAACTGAAATTATAATCTTACACTATACCATGTTTTCTTTCTTATCCTATCTTTCATTCCAAGTTGGAAATAATGAAAATACCATTAAAGAAATGTTCATGATAATTAAGAGGGTATAATATGTAATATTTTCTAACTCAAACTGAATAAATAATGTTATATTTTGACTTTAAGAGTCTATTTAGTTTAAAAAACACATAGAGGAGAGGGTAAAAAAAAAAAAGAAGGGAAAGAAGAGGCTATTTTAAGCTATTTTAACCAATTTAATTAACTCCTTTTCAACTTAATTTTACCACAGTGCTCTAAAGCTTCCTTGGAGAAAAAACAAAGAAGTTACTTTATTAAATAACTCACAAATAGGTAAAAAAAGAAGAAGAAGAAGAAACCTTAGATTTATGATCATACCGAATTAATTAAAGGGCCTCGATTGGTGGAAAAAAAGGGCATCGATCATGTGAAGATAATATAAATTTAGATGCGTTCACACTGTTTGGGCAAAGCATGGAAGAATAAAATATTAGAGAGAGAGGTCCAGCTAATTCATTTTTTGGTGCACTGGCTCCAACTCCAACTATCCATATTTCTTAATTACTCCAACTATTAATACGAGGAATTTCAAAACAACTACTACGTCAGTAGCGTCACAATTGTTTCGTCACTACACGTGAGATTCCAGCAAGAATAGTTACATGCACGTTTTTCTTTATCACCTGCATCAGGCTTTGTGGTC